GGTCTACAGGTGTTCCTACTCAGTGCCTGATTAGACCTGATCTCCTCAAACACCTTTCTGTCTCTTTTATTAGTTTTGTTGTACCTGTTTGAAACAAATTACATCTTTACCAATTTTTATAGAAAGCACATGTGTGGTAGAGCCTTAAATGATTGTGCCAAAAAGAGCAACTGCAGACTACTCAGAAATAGTTAGTCACTAAATTAAGTGAAAGTAGAATTACTTATTTTAAAGTGTGCTAAAGCTACTGCAATAAATAAAAAAAACATCAGCACTCAATTCAGTAACTACAGTTCAATATACTGAATACACTGTCATCTAGTTTGCCTTAGCTCAGCTGAGGAAACGTTTTCTTTCCTTCCCTTCCTCCTTCCATTACTCTCTCTGTCCATTTTTGTATGCCTTCTCTCACCAGCAGATGGGGCCATTTGGGATGAGAAGCTGAATTGTGCTGATGCACTAATTATTTTGTTGGCCAGTGGACATTGGCAGTGGCCCCAGCAACTGAACAGAATTGGATCATCAAGCCAAAAACAGTATTCATATAACAGCTTCTGTGAACAAGGTTTCCCATGCAATTACAGCAGCAATAAGATAACTCACTGGCTCCTGCAGCATGAAAACAATACTCACACCCAGAGACTGGTTTCATTTGAAGGAATCTCAGCACTTTTGTGATATTCAAATAATGATTTTCAACAGGATCTTAGTGAACTGTATTTGACCAAATAAATGTTACGGCCTCCAAAAAGCTCTTGTGTGATCCACATCTGAAAATGTTATAATCCTACAAAGGAGATGACTGAAATATCCACTGTATTCACAAATACAGATCCTTGTTTTTTGACAAGTACATTGTCATTGCACTGAAATGTTTTGCTTAATTATATGGACCAGTTAAATACAGTTTTTGTTGTTGTCACATGTCAATCCCAGAGGAAACACAAACATGACAAAAACAACCAAACAACACTGAAGGCTTATTCTAATGAAAACTAGGGCTGCAGAATAATATCACCATGTGATGCAAAAGACACATACAGATGTAGATGTTCTGTGTTTGTATGTGACTATGTATGTCTAAAGTGGAAATGAGTATGTGTGTGTGTCTGTGAGGACGAGGAGGAAACAGAACCTAGTTTTGTTTGTGAGCCCAGCATGACAAAGATTACCTAACAAGGCATTGAGCTGAGAGGAACCCATGCATAGCTAATAGCCCAGTACCCCCAAAAGCCTTTGTACCCCAAAACAAAAGCCCTGTCCTACGGACACACACACACACACACAGAAGAGGCAGCAGAGAGAGAAGGAGAGGAATATCAAGTAAGATAAACAGGAGAGAGGTTGTACAGATGGAATAAGTTGGTCAGAGGTCAAAATAAACATAAGATCTATCACATGGACTGGACAC